GCTGCCGTGAGCAGCCGTCCAGTGGCCAGTGACCGATCTGCCTCACCCGGGAAGAGTGCAATGATAATACCAACATGGGCCAGTGAAGCGACGTCCTCCACAACTAGACTGAAGAACAAAAGGACAGCAACTTGTCTGTTCCCCTTCACTGATTCCCCAACGCTGTTCCCCTCCCCCAATTCCCCAATAAAATCTTAAAAACAAAATAGTCGATTAATGATTTTCCAAACTGTAGTAGACACCTTCATGTTTGGTTTGCTCAGGACTCCTCTAACTGCCCCCAAATAATACTCATTTAATCATCTCCTCCCTAAAAAGCTCTCCTTTCCAATTCACAACTAGGTAGCTTTGCTAATTCTTCCACATTCAGTATACATATTAGCATGACAAAATCTCATTAAGGGGTTTATATAACTTTGTCTCAAGGAAATGGGTAGTAAAAGACATTCAATTAGTTTGCACTCTAGTTGACAATAGAAGATAAAAATGAAACAACAAGAAAACAGTCCACAGTAGATCATGGTCCTTTGCTCATTAAGATATTCATTAGATAAAGAAAGGATTCAGGGGCCGGCCGAGTGGCGCGTTGATTAAGAGCTGGCTTGGGACGCCAGCTCAGTGCAGCAGGGCCCCGGTTCAGATCCCACATGAGGGCCAGTGACACTGCCCTCTACAGCTAAGATGGTGCACAACAGCTCAACCTGGAGCTGGGCTGCGGTGAGTCGCTGGTGATGGCGTAGGGTGCAGCCCCTGCTGCAGTGGGCTGCCATAAGCTACCGTGTGTGGCCGGCAGCCAGTGTGAACGGCCAGCAGCCGCTGTGAGCTGCCAAGAGCCGCTGTTAGCAGCCGTCCAGAGGGCGGCGACCCATCTGCCTCACCCAGGAATGGTAATACCAACATGGGCCAGTGAAGTGACGTCCTCCACAACTAGACTGGAGAACAAAAGGACAGCAACTTGTCTGTTCCCCTTCCCCAGATTTCCCAATGCTGTTCTCCTCCCCCAATTCCCCCCCAAAATTTAAAAAAAGATAAAAAAAGAAAGGATTCAGGGGGGGAAGGACCTGTTTTGCAATCAGGAAAACAAAAGCTGATTTATCCATTTGAATTAAAAAGTAGGTAAAGAATTTCAGTATTTAGTCACATATTCATTCAAATATAAAAGGGAACTGATGGCCACCTCCACCACCACAACCATGTGTTATATGTGTACAAGGTTACATCAAAGTGGTAGCTAATAATACTACATTCTGCAGTTGTTCAAGGATGACAGTTGAGAAAGTTTGATGACAGAGGATAAAAATAACACTTGTTTGGGCATAAATGGAAGGTTTTTTTCATCGAACTATGTGAGCATTCCTCATGTCACCCACACTCCCAGGAACCTACGAAAATAATTTTGCAATATTAACAAGTGTTCACTACTTCAACAAATTATAATTATTTTTTGCTGAAATGAAAAATATCTATTGTAAACACAAGAAAAAATTGAGGGAATGGTAAAATAATCAGTTTTTATTCGGTTTTAATCAATGTCGAGTTCTACTATCAAGTAAATAATCTGCATAACCTTTTTCAAGTATTTTTTTTTTACAATTTTAAACAGAGCATTGGCCAAGAGTTAGTTCATAGCAATTTAGAGGCCAATGCAGATGCAGAAATGCTTACAGTTTGAATGTGCTTTGTTGACAAAGAGAGTATGGCCTATTTACTTTTTTTATTTAAAAGAAACGTGGAATCTTTAGCTCCCAGCTTGACAGTTAGTTACAAAAAGCAGAAGGCACCTTAACGTTTCCTCTGGAGTGTATTATCACTGTACTCCAGTATCAACAGTGGATAGAAACACATGTGCACTATCATACTTTGACCTTTGCACTTCAACTCAAAAGAATCCTGAGCAAAGTCACTTTTCCCATCCAGTGTACACTTTGTGTCGATGAAAAGCAAGCAAGCAAACAAACAAACAAACAAAAAACCTTTTTCACAGAATTCGATCTGTGGATTTCATTTTTGTTTGAATGAAATATGTTTATTTCTATGCTGTGAGTTTGCAAGAAAAGAAGGCCAGGAGAGGCATTCCTCAAAGGCTGAAAGAAGCCATTACCACCACCACTACTTGCCAGGGGATTTGCAAAGTGTCTTGAGGTACAATATTAGTATAGGAGTTGAGCCAGGCTCAGAAATTAGCCCAAAGAAAAAAGGTTAGAGTATCCCCCCTCCCTTTAGCCAGCCCATACAACAAAGTACTTCAGATAGTACCTCCTAGTGGTGAGGTAATGATGTATTTTCTGCAATGTTCATTTTTGGGTTTTCCTATTTCCTTTATGACCGTAAGGTTTGGAATTGGAATTTGAAATCCTTGGGGAAAAGCTATTTTCGTAATTCAGCTGGGATCTCCTTGTCTTAGGATTTCCCATTGCATCAGTCACTTAGCCTGGTACCATAGCCATGATAGTGCTTTGTCTTTTAGATAAAATGCAGGACTAAGGACATGACTACTGGTGCTTATTAAAGATTCCTTGCTATTTTCACAAGAGTAGGGGCGTTAGACTCTTGTCTACTGGCCAAATTCTAAATCGGGAGATTACATTCTGCTTTCCTAAATTTCCCTAGCAGAAGCAGCTATCCATGGTATCCTACTTTGCTTCCTGTGCTCAACTCTAGTGTGATGTCATTGAAGGGCACTGGTTTTCTACCCTAGAAGTGTTCGCTTCTTAGTGGAGTAGTGAATAAATTGGTACCTATTGTCTGATATTGTATTCGACTCAGTTTCAAACAAATTAAAATGTAGGCTCTGATAGTTAAGGATAAAGTATAAAACAAAACAAAACACCCTAACTATGTACGAGTTATTTGGAACATTTTAGAAGCCAATCTTTCTCGTCTGCAACATATACCAAAAAATGCAATGCTTCTTTTTTGAAATGTATTAAATTTATTGGGGTGACATTAATTAGTAAAATTATATAAGTTTCAAGTGTACATTTCTATAATATATACTTTCAACATTGATCCGTAATGCTTCTTTGTTTTACTCCACTGGTGGTTGACAATGAGTTGTTATTTGCTTCAAACAGGATAGTTCTAACAGTAAAGATAAGAGGTCTGAGAGGATGAGATCACATATCATAAACCAGTTAACCCAACTCTTTTGTCTTTAGGTTGCAACTCACTAGTCTAACAGTTCATCTATTTCATAAAATATTTTTTAAAGGAGAGTCTTAATTTTTCCTTGGTAACATGTTTTAGTTTTTTCAATCTTTCCATAAAAACTAAGTTCTTATTTTTGTTTAACCTGTTCCCTACTGTAGTTTAATGTCATGATCTTTTAACCATCACTAACCTTGCTCTCATGTATTGATATTGAGAGGCAGTTTAGCACAATGGCATGGCTTTTGGAATCAGACACGCCTGCATTCAAATCCTGGCTCTGTCACTTTCTAGGTGTGTGATGTTGGGCAAGCTGCGTCTAAGGTTCAGTTTTCCGCATCTGTAAATGAGCACCCTCAGAGGGTTACTGTGAAGACCAAATGAGGTAATACATCATTTTCAGGGACTATGGGGCAAGATGACGCATGGTACTCGGCACCCAAAAAGTACTCAACAAATAGCACTTATTTATCTGATTATGTACACAGATCTGACTTAATTCATAAACTCTTTGAGAGTAGGAAACATACTTCCTGGAATGTCAACATAAGTACAGTGTTGTGCACATATAGTATGGCACAGAGGCTCATATTTATTGAATGAATAAACTTTGGTTTTTCCTAAGAGGAGTAAGAAGCCCTCAAGCTGTTAGCAAGATTCCACACATTTAGCTCAAAAGAGACAAGATCAATCAATCCTCTGATGTCTCCAAATATGCTGATACTTCACTTTGTCTAGATGTTTTGGCATGGTGTAGACACAAATACTTTCTGTTTCTATCAGGTTCATGTCTATGAATTTTAACATTTGATTATTGTCTTAGGTGCCCAGAGTGGGACTGACTCAGTCATATGCCTCTTCATTCATCCAAGCATTCTCTGATTGAGAAATTTTAAAAATGAATACTAAGAACTGTCTAATAATATACCTGAACAAAATCTTTCAACTTGTGACTCAGCACACTACCTTCCCTATTTACCTGTAAGAACTGTGCTAATTGTTTTGTTCCCAAGACACACGCACGCGCACAATGCGCGTGCCCACACACACACACACACACACACACACACACACACACACACAACCACCCACCACCCATAACCCACCATAGCACGTTTCAAAGCACAATTAACGTCTTTGAACCAGTGAGGTGTTGGTTAGGTCTTCACTTCTTGCTTTTAAACCTCTTCGCCGGGCAAGGAGGCAAAGTTGGGGAACAAATAGTGATATAGATTCAATTGGGCTTGAATATTTGTCCGTAAGGAAAGAGTATTGCTCTTTTACCACAATCTGGGGGAAAGCCTGGGGCGTGCTTAAACTGGTATTAAAGCCATCGCCCTGTGGCCATTTCCCCGATGCTTTTACAGACTTTATAGGAGCGGTCTCAGGTGTGGAGCCCGAGCACCTGCTTGCTCACACTCTTGCAGTTCAGAAACCAGCGTATTTGAGGCCAGAGGCTCAGGTTCCATGTAACTCGGCTCAAGTGTCACTAACACTATGTGCAGCGCCCGTCATCGAGCTGTGCTTTGGGAGTTGGATACTTACTTTAGAGTTTCTTCTCCCCCGCCTTCTCCTCCCCCCTCTCGCCGCCCCCC